TCCTGCGGCAACCCGGAAGTACTGGAACAATTACTTCCAGGTTTTGCCCGGGTTTTGCTAAATCGCGCCGTGCGCGTCCGCAGATGCAGCGCTTCTGGATGCGAACGCTTCGAGTTGCAGACATGCCTCTGGGACAGATTACGTCCACAATTTGAGGTTCCAATGCATGATACTTTACTTTCTTGCACTTATTTGGGGTATCATGACATAATGTTTCCAAGTATTTGCCACATAATAGACAACTTTAATGGACTACACGACACTATATTCTTGCTATGGCACTTGCTTCTCTCTTTCCTTCCCTCACTATCTCTCTCCACACCCATTTTCTTACCCACCCTTCACTCAAAAGTCCCCAGGTGGGTTATATACAATTAAAAAATACAATACTTAAATCCACAAAAAATACAGACAGCCGCCATTTATGTGAAGTCAATATGCGTGCGACCTTGTATACACGCCGAACGCAGAAGCGACCCGGAAACATCATAAAGACATCACTGAAATGTCTCTAAAAGGGCGTGGGGGGTAGGAAAAGGGTATTTGCTGGCTTTTTCAAAGGGTTTCAATTATATGAGATTTCACTGATGTGTGCAGTGTTGCAGAACGTAACTCCGCATAAATGGGGGGTATCTGTACAATAAACAGCACCACTCAAAATCAGAGGAATTTGACAAAACAACACCTCACCCCACCAAAAGTCTGGGCAAAGAAGCACACCTTGACATGACAAAAAAGTTACAGTATCAGTGTAAGATGCACCTTAGTGAGAGCATTCCACAATGCATGGGCTACCACTGAAAAGGCCCTACGATACACCGTTGCCCTCAAACCCTTTTTGGCAATGTCACCATGAGCAGAACCTCCCTGGGTGATCTTACTCAGATAAGTTGATATGGAAGTAGACAATACCTCACATACTTTGTTGCCCAATGTTAGGACTTGATATTGTTGGAATACCTTTTGGGGGCTTTTACTTACCATCACTATCAACATGCTTAGTTTATGCTGAGTTCATTGCTCCTGTTTTGATTGTATTTCAATGCCTTATTTTGAACCACTTTCAGATATTTTTATGATAGGTGGTATACTACTTTAAACAAAGAATAAATACATTTCCTATATTTTGTGTATGCTAATTATATAAATTGGTATCCAATTTGCAGGTATTTCTACCAATAATTTCTAGTTTAGTAGAAATTTCACGTTAGAAATTATTTCAGCTGGAAAACATCACCAACTGAAGTTTCAGAACCTGCCTTATGAGTCATCATTTTTTGATGGGCATGCAGTATATACACAGATAATGTGAGAAACTTGCTTCGGCTAGTCCTATCCCCCTTCCTACTTCAATTCATTCATCCTTCTTCTTGCCATCCAAAAACATATTCCAGTTGGTAGAAAAAGTAGAATTGGGATGAGGAACATGTAACCTTCCAGATGTTGTAGCACTACCAACTCCCTTCTCTTGCGGGGGCCCAATTAGTGCCATTGCCTTCCGTTAAGAGTTTGGGTGTAATCCTTGACACCTCCCTTTCCATGGAGGCGCAGGTTAAAGCAACAGCCAAGGCAACATTTTTCCACATTTGCCGCATCAAGCAGTTGGTGTTTACCTTTCCCGCCCTGACCTGGCCACAGTGATCCATGCGACGGTCACCTCCAGGCTTGACTACTGTAATTCGCTCTACGCAGGGCTGCCCTTGGAACTGCCCCAGAAACTCCAGTGGGTGCAGAATGCTGCAGTGAGGCTCCTCACGGGGTCACTGCCATGGGAGCATATTCACCCAGTGCTTTTCCAGCTGCACTGGCTCCCGGTGGAGTACAGGGTCAGATTTAAGGTGCTGGTTTTGACCTTTAAAGCCCTTCACGGTCTAGGACCCTCGTACCTACGGGACCGCCTCTCCCAGTATGCCCCACGGAGAGCCTCAAGGTCCATAAATAGCACCACCCCAGTGGTCCCAAGCCCTAAGGAAGTTAGATTAGCTTCAACCAGAGCCAGGGCCTTTTTAACACTGGCTCCGGCCTGGTGGAACGCTCTGCCTCATGAGACCAGGGCCCTGCAGGATCTGATTTCTTTCCGCAGGGCCTGTAAGACAGAGTTGTTCCACCTGGCCTTTGGCTTGGAGCCAATTTGATTCCCTCCCCCTCTTTCTTTTTCCTTTCTCCTCCTGTGATGAGGCTGCATTTTAATATTTTAATGTTTCAATATTTTAATGTTGTCTTTTAATATTGCTTTTAAGTTGTATCCATTCAACTTGTCTTTATTTTTGCTTGTTAGCCGCCCTGAGCCCAGCCTTGGCTGGGGAGGGCGGGGTATAAATAAATATTATTATTATTATTATTATTATTATTATTATTATTATTATTTCCAACAACCCTGACCATGGCTGGCTGGGACTGATGAGCATTTTAGTCCAGCAACATCTGAAGAACCTCAGGTTTCCCACGCCTGATGTGGAGAGAGAAAGCTAAAGAAGAGACACAGGGGCCTCTCTCTTCTGCCTTTTAAAGGGCTTCCCACTCAACCACTAGAAAATAAATAAGTTAGCACCACCTGCTCAAGACACTATTTGAAACACATAGTATACTCTGCCAGAATGTGTCACATCTTTGGATGGTCAAATATCCCTTCAAAAGATGTGGTATTTTCTTCATTTTCTAGACACGCTAGTGCAGTGCAAGAGTCTCAGTACTGCTTGTATTAGCAGTATTAAAAAACAAACAGAACTCATTACACTACACTACAAAAATGTCAGTCCTAACCCCTTTCAGCTCAAACTATCATTTTTTATCCTCTCCTCCCTTTTTTAAAAAAATGTGAAAAACTTTTTTAGACAGCCAAAAAAAAGTGTTGAGTTGCACGTAAGAATTCCAGTACTTCAAATTAACATCAGAGTTGGTAAAAATGGAGTTTGGATTGTCATAGGCCTGGCAAACCCAGAAAAGAGGATAAAGAAATTTACAGAAAAGCACACTTGCTAAACTCTACTACTATGAGCTTCTGGGAGCCTAACTAATCATGTGAGCACTCTTTAATTCCAGGGGGTGAAAGTAACACAGTACCACAGTTTTAAAGGGAAGGATACTTTTTACACTAATTTAAACAGCAGTAACAGCCCCTGGAGGAGATTACACAAAACCCAGAGAAGAATGAGGAAGGGGAGGACAGGTTAAAATTTATGAAGGCCTTGTTTCTGAGCAAGTTCTGCAGATTATGCCATAAACCCTGGTGCTCCCAGCCGGTGTTGGCCTGGGGGTCCTCTTTTGTCCCTGGTACTACCCACAAATGCATCAAGCCAACATTTTGCATGGCCAACTCTTTAAGGGCAGGAAAGCATGAAATCCCAGCAGCTCAGGGAACAAGGCCCTTAAAAGTGCAAGGTCTTCAAAACAGGAAAGCACCTAATCTCCTGAAAGCTGTTCAAATGCGAACCTGTGGCACTATATTTCAGAGGGGAAAGGGATAAAAGGCAGGGTTTTAACAAGGCTGCGGAGAGGAAGTTTCGGAACAAGAGTTGCGCCTTAACATGGAGTAACAGAGGGCAATGAAACGGGCTGCCGCGAAATTTAGAGGGTTGGCACAAGGAAGCAAGCAGCACGTAGGCGGCGGCGAGAGGCGGGAGGAAGTCTCTTCCCGCAGAAGGCAGCACCTGTAGCCCGGGGCTAAGTGAGCTGCAGCTCGCTCGGTTCCTCCCTAGGAGATACATACGGTATAATTGATACATTACCTTTGAGCTGGGGCAGCGGGAAGAGCTCCACGGGGCTGCTTTGGGTGCGGAACTGCGAAGACCCCTGCGACCGCTTCTGCTTCTGAGCCTTGCGCACCGACCTCCGCGTGAAGCCGTCCACTTTCTCCGCGGCGGAGATCGCCGCCGCCGACATGGCTGGGAAAGGAGGAGGCACGAGGGGGGATCGCCTCTCCCTTGAAGCATATAATCACGCCGGAGGGGCGGGGGGAGGGAGGAAGGAAGGCAGAGCAAGCGGCGGCGGGCGAGAAGACACCACCAGCCAAGGAAGGAGGAAGACACTTAATCCAGTGCACCAAGGAATAGGGGCCGCGGGGGGGGGGGCGGTTCTTCCAAGTCCCAAAAAAACACACACACACCAAGAAAGGGGGAAGAATCCAAACACCTTCCAAAGGGGGAGGGGGGAGAGGCTGTTTATCCAACACCTCAAAGACAGAAGGCTCTTAATCCGACACCCTTGAGAAGGGAGGGGATACACTTAATCCGATACCCCAAAGGAAAAAGGGGTTTCCAAGTAATGGATACTTTTCCGAGGAAGAGACCAAATGAGGGTTAAACCAAAGGGGGGGGGGCGGCGGCACGCAGCAAAGACCCGCCCCCGCTGCGTCCTCCAAATCAGCCGAGCCTCCGAAGGAGAAAAACAGAAGAGGAAACTTTTATTCTTCCTCCCTTCGCCAGCGACGTCTCTTCGCCGCCCGCCCGCGAGCGGCAAACTTTGGCGGCGCGCGGTCTCGTGAGGAGGAAGGAGGAGGCGCTGTTCTCCCGCCACCCGCCGCCTCAGCCAGGCTCGCTGTCGCCTGGGCCGCCCCGCCAGGCGCTCGCTGTCATGAGCCGGGGTTCCTCGGCGACTCCTGAGGGAAGGACGGCGGCGGAGCGGGAAGGGGAGGGAGAGAGGCCAGGGCCGCGCAGCCTCCTCTTCAGCCACCGTCGGGAGCCCCCGGCGCCTCTTCCGCCAACATCTTGTCACGCCAGCGCCCCCCGCCGCCGCCGCTTCTCCTCTTCCTCCTCCTCCTCAGAGGCCGCGCGCAACGTAACAGCGGGGGGGAGGGGCGCGGAGGCGGCGAACCTTCCACTCGAGAAGCGGCGCGCAACTTGCTGCAAGTGAGCGCGCTGTTAAGGGCAGCCGAGTTCCGACTCGGAGGAGGGGGCGGGGCCAGCGGCGAGGGGAGGAGAGGAGGTAGAGGAGCAGGAGCAGGAAGGCGGTTGGAACAGCCGTTGGAGGACGCCGGACGGAGGGTAACTGACAGGAGCGCAGCAGCCAATCGGAGAGGCGGCGGGGCGGGCGGCGGCGGTGGTTAAAGCGAATTGCCTTCTGTTGGGCGGGACGAGCTGGAAGCCAAGCGACGCGACCTCTGGGGGACCGGGCGAGGGACACCAGGATTTGCCCAACGCAAGGGGGTCAAGGGCGGGGTGTGGTGCGGAGGACGCGATTGGGTCTACGGCAGCGGAGGCGGGACGAGCAGAGAGCCAATGACGAGTTGCGATCAGGACTTTTTCGTTGGTTTGTTTTGAGGTGGGAGCTCAGAGGGGCGCGAGGAGGGCAGGAATCCCACCCGGCAGCTTTCTGGGGTTGTGAAGTTGGGCTGGTCTGCTGCTTGTGTTTTTCTTCCGGGAAAGGTCACCGTTGTTGGCTTTTGGGCGGGATGGAGGGGGGGGGAGTCCGCAAGAAACTTCAGCAGCCCAGTCTTGTTCATCTTTACTTGCAAGTAAACCCTGTTCAACCAGTAGAGCTTACTCTTGGGTAAGCAGGCAGTTACTAACTTTTGTCTTCTCTCTTCCCCACCGCTCCTCTGGAGATGCAACATTTCCAGAAAATGGGAATAAAACCCATTTCCCCTTCTCCTGACATAGTTTTTTCGTGCACACAAAACAGAAAAATTGAGAAATTGTGTGTGTGTGTTTTATATATTTATATATAAATATAACCCAGCCAGATGGGCGGGGTATTTTATATATATATATAAAAGGCCTGGGGAAAGAGGGATGTTTTTGCCTGGCACCTAAAAATATGTAACACAGGTGCCAGGTGAGTCTCCCTGGGGAGAGCATTCCACAAACATATATGCAATACTTATCAACCCCAAACGTATGTTACTGCTTTAGCAAAATAAAGTGTATTGTTCCAAAGCTAGGGTAGAATAAAATTATCCCCTTAAATTTTAGACTATAAATGTACCAAGTAAGATTACAATATTACCCACACAGTCAACTTCCTTCTGTGGGTCTTGGTTAAAGCTCACACCTGTATTTGCAGTTTCTGCCCCCCGCCTTTTGACCTTTTTTATCCCCAGCGAAACAAAGCAAGAAGCTGCTTGTTTGTTTCCCATTCTGCAGCAGTGTGTCTGTGTCCTTCAAGGGGCAAGGTGAAAAGGTTGACCACAAAGGAGGGAACAGGTCAGAAGGGCAGCAGAAACAGGATGATTGCTACTAGTATCTACAGACTAAACCAAAGGTGACTAGGAGACTGCAGGCAGCAATTCACAAGCGACAGAGGCCCTGCATGTTCCTCTAACGAAGATTACTGCACCCATAATACAGAAATTCATTTTGAATTGAAGTGTTGTATTTGCCAGTGCACTAATGCTGTACATCTTAAAATAAAACATACTTAATAGAGGTTTTTTCCAGTGTCCTTCAAAAGATGGAAACATTTGCAAAAAGTCCTCTGGAAAAAAACACCTTTTTAAAAACTCCCTGGGTGAGGTGTAATAGGACCCTCACACCTCTCCCCTCAGCCCATTTCTTCTGGCAGGAGGGAAAGGGTTGACCTCTTAAATATTGGGCTGTACATAATACAACTTTTTAAAGTGCATTAGCCCTGGAGAGGCATAGCAGTCCAAATTATGGAAAGAGGTTCAGTTTGTGTTGTTGTAACAGTGCCTGGAAACAAGTATGCAAATAGCAGCTGTTTCAGAAGGGGAAAACAACTTTTTGAAGCTTCATTATTGGTATGTTAGGAATAACAGCTGTGAGCTTCTCTTTAAAGCCACATACACACAGGATGGGTCTTGTTTACACATTCTGGGAGAGTGTATTTACTAAATGACCATTTATAATGCATGTGTGCGATGTTCTTCACACCTGAGCACCTCTGCATGATGGAAGAGAAAGAGTTGCTATGCCATATTTCAAACAAATGTGTGAAGCGTTCCTAATTCTGCCATTCAAGGAGATGTGATTAAGATCTAATCATAGACACCCTGCAGCTCAAAAGCTTGTGTAGTGGTTTCAAGAGCCTACATTAGTGTTGTGTATGCAGCATCTCATCAAATTATGGAAGCTGTGCAGAGACTTGTTCAACTGTGCTGCAGGCCTGCAGTCTTGTGCAGCCAAACAACTTTAGTCTGTTTTGCTCAACCAATCCTACTTCGGATTCTTTCTTGGATTACGGCATCAATTAAGAACTCTGGAACAGAGACAGGATTCCTTGCTTCTGTCATGTTTGCACCTCAGTGAGGTTCCACCAACAGAACTCTCCTTCCCTCAAAAGTTGGTAATGGAGATACTGAATCTGACATAACCCCCTAAGGTTTAACATGTCTTTGCTGTCCTTGCTATGGCTTTGCATCCGTGGCCTTCTTGGATTTGGATTTGATATCCCGCTTTATCACTACCCAAAGGAGTCTCAAAGCAGCCAACAATCTCCTTTCCCTTCCTCCCCCACAACAAACACTCTATGAGGTGAGTGAGGCTGAGAGACTTCAGAGAAGTGTGACTGGCCCAAGGTCACCCAGCAGCTGCATGTGGAGGAGCAGAGACACGAACCTGGTTCACCAGATTGCGAGTCTATCGCTCTTAACCACTACACCACACTGGTCTTCTTTTATGCCATATCCTCAATTTTCATCTTGTTAAAAGAAGGGTGATTCCCAAATTGTTTAGAAAAGAAGACCCAGCAAATAATTATTTAATCCTAAACATAACTGGCATTTAATTTTAGGAATAATTTTTTGTTTTGACCCTTCCGTTCCTTTGAAACCAGTATCCCTGTAATTTGCTGCAGCCTACTGGTTAAGTCCAATTTTCCATATGGTTTCTCATGCCTTATGCCTTCTTTAAAGGACAACTCATGTGCTCACTCAAATATGATCATCAATTAATAGCAGTTTGCGAGGCAGGTAATCTCTGTGAGTGGTGCAGTAGAGATAAACCTCTGCTCCCACTGAGAGAACAGTGGGAGTCAAAGTCAAAGATAGAGTAGAATTCAGTTTTTTAGCCATGGACATGTAAATCAATACTCTTTCCTTCTCAGTACTAACAGATGCCTTTAAGTGGTGAGAGTGGAGTTTGGAATTTTGCCACGCTAGCAAGATTGTGTCAGGAAATTGATGCATTTGTATACTGTGATCTCCATGATGATGGGTAACTGTTTATGAAAAAATAGCCTGAACTGTTCCATTTATGCACTACCTTTTTTATTTCCTTTTGGCAGGATTATAGTATTGGCTCCAGGGCTTTTAATAGCTTAGAAGCTATAGTATTTACTGCTGCACTACTTTGGCAGGAAATGCTCCACCTGCTGAAAATTTCTCTTCTATACATTTATTAATAAGAACCTGAGGACAGCACCCTCTGCCATTAGCTAAGGACAAGGGCACTGGGAGGCCACTCCCCTTGCCTTCTAGCGACATCATCACAGCAAGATGGAGACCAACATAGCCCTATCAGTGGGCCAAAGGAGGACTTGTCATAAAGAACACTCCCAACTGCTGGTTGCCCTGCAGAAGCAAGAAGAAGGGCCTCTCTGGTCCCATCCATCAGCCAAAGGAGCAAGAGGCATCAGTTGCTAGTCACAGGGTTTTTTAAAAGCTGATTTTCCAACTGCACAAATTCCCCATCAGTCCACTCCCTTCACTATATTTTCCTACCTTTCTCTGGAGGCCTAGAATCATAAAACTGTAGAGTTGGAAAGGACCCCGAGGGTTGAATCTCAACTAAAGCAATGGCAGATGGCCATCCAACCTCTGCTGTAAAACCTGCAGTGAAGGACAGTCTGCTTCATAATTCAACAACTGTGAAATCAGGATAGTCTCTTGGATTTCTTGTTCTTAAAATGTTGATATTGAAGAAAACATTGAATGTTTGTCTTTTTTGCCTCAAGTTCTTTAAGATATTTGGGGACATAGGAAGCTGCCTTATGCAGAGGCAGCTCATTGGTCCATCTACCTCTGGATTGTCTACAGTGACTGGAAGCAACTTCCCAGCATATCAGGCAGGAGTCATTCCCCAGCCCTACCTAGAGAATCCTGGGATTGAACTTGGGACCTTCTGCATGCAAAGCAGATCCTCTAACAATAAGCTGCAGCCCCTTTTGATTTATCGATTTTAAGAAAATTTTAAAAAGTGCATTTATTTTTGTGTGTCAACAAACTTAGTAACAAATTAAACAGCATAAAAAGTTAATAAAATGTTGGTCTACATTTTTGCTACTGTACTTGTTTGGCACTGTCTGCTTTCACAAGTGGGACTATCCTATTGCTCAAATGCATGGCAAGACTCCTGTCTCATTCACTGCAAATTGCACAGGCTCTCCGGCACTCAATAAATGAGAGTCCTTAAATAACATTGGAACAAATTGTCCGAGAGACCATCTGTTGTCTCCCCCTTGCATCTTAGGATTTGAGATAGAGGGATTGGAACTGAGATCAGGAGGTACTTAGGAAGAACTTAGGGACTCCTAAGTAAGATCACCCTTCAGCTTAGGTTGTGCTGAAACCTATTTGTAAATAACAGCTTCAGAAACAAACTACTATGGGGAAGTATTTCAGTTTTAGGAGTGTGCATTTGTCATTTACAGTTGTGGCTCTTCTCTTTGGGGTTCTTCATTCCATTTTTAAAAATAGTTCTGTGTGGAACGCTCATATGCCAAATGCCTCATACAGATATAAAACGGAATATGTCACGTACATAAATAGCAAATGTCCCCTGACTATCCTGGCCCTTGACTGTTTACAATTATTTCAAGGTCCCAGGACACCTGCAACAATGTGGTGTAATTTGGAAACCCATAACGGCACATCAAAGATATAGAATCATTTGACAATCCGTTAAATTCAATAAAGGTATACTATTCAATTTAGAATTAAAATAGTGATTTTTCTACAGCCACCTTAACTACATAGCTGCCTAGACCTTCAGCAGATAAAGCAGGGGCAGCCAAATGGGTTCTCTCCAAGCCTTTCCCTTTCCCTGCCAGGTTTTCTATATGCAGGAAATTCTTTTGTGTGGCGTATTCACTCCTGTCAGCCTCAACAGCAGGCTGAAGCAGGGATGTTACAAACTCTGATGTGCATCTCCTGGACTAATGTGCAGATCATAACTTAATTATCCAGTTGTTTTTGCACAAACCAAAAGTTCAAACAATAATGTGTATTTTGAAAAAAAAATGTACCAACATGTATTTAAATGGGCATTTTGTGCATGTTTTGTTATTACAGATTAATGTGAAAGCAGGATAAAATCTACTGATGGGTGAACACAAGCAGAACTTGTGTGGGTCGGAAATAGATTCTTCCCATCCCTAATCTGAACAGGAACAGGGACAGATTTAGTAGTTTACCATCTCTGTAAAAACAAGACAACAGAAGCCACAACCCAGAGGTGGTTTAGTGACTAGAGAGTGGGGCTTGGCTGTGGGAAGCTGAGAGTCTAATTCTTCAATCTTGCTGTAAAGCTCACTGAATGGCCTCAGGCAAGTCACAGACCTGATGCAGATGCCACAATCTCAGCTTCACAAACCACAGTATATTGAGCCATGATTGTAATGGCTGACTTGGATCAATGCTTCTTAGCCTCCTTCACTCAGGGTTGCTCTGAGGAGCTTAGAGGCTGGACCTGAAAGACAGGACTGGAAATAATAACGAGCATTTATTCCACTTGAAAATGGGAAAATACATATGAGTCCTTATTGCCTTTTATGGGGGTGGGGAGGGGTGGAATCTGTAGAAAACCAGCAATTTTGTAATGTACAGAAGCCACAAAAGAAAATAATGTATGTCAACTAATCTGTCTCAGAAGGGTTAGGAAGCACAGATATTTCAAGAAACTTGCTAAAGTATAAAAAGGCAACCAGTCTAACAGAAAACTTAATGGTCAGCTTGTTAGCAGGCTTTTACCATGAGTTTAATACCTGCCTGAAATAATCTCCAGCTGGAAAACAGGCAGTGCTGTTGAACAAAACTAATACAGTACAAATCAAATTCAGTGGATCTCATGAATAAAGTCTCCATTATTTAGGATACACAGTGACTGCGTATCATCTATGTAAAATTATTGTTCTGTTCAGATTGCACTACTATTTATGTGAGTATAAGGTAAAGGTAAAGGACTCCTGGATGGTTAAGTCCAGTTAAAGGCGACTATAGGGTACGGGGCTCATCTTGCTTTTCAGGCCGATATATTGGGAGGGAGTAGTGTGGCTCAAAGGTTTCTGATCTTTCATGCCATTCATTTGGACATTTTTTGACTCAAGATGGGCAGACATCACCAGTGGTTAATTGTTTCTATAGTGTGTTGTTTCAGTGCCCTATATCAAACAGACATACAGAAAAGATTTTAAAATGATTCCTGACATGGGGAAAGAGACATGCACATGTCACATTCCATGCATGTGGTGTCTCATTTAAACTGCGCCATCAGCTGCCACGTGATCAGCATTAGGGTAACAGAAGAGTTGCCACATGGATCATGGAACTCTGGTATGCTGGTGCCACATGACTCAGTTTAAATGAGATGGTGACTGCATGGAATTAGAGACTTGTGAATCTCTTAATTTCAGATTCTGTTTTACTCATTTTTCGTATCTTATGCTCAGTTTGCCCCATTTTGTTATCAGTTTGTGATTTTATTTATTGCAAATAGTTCCACACAAAATTTTGTGTGTTGTACACTATTTTCACTAATATACACTCCTTTTTGCACATTTTCACCTATGCTTTTTTCTATACATTTGTTTTGGTTGGAGAGCTATATTGCAAATGCAGAAAAGTGTGACATTCAAACAAAAATTGCCATTTGGTTTGGGAAGTGCGAATTAGGGAGGTTTCATTAAAACATGAACAGAACCAATTTCACCTCATTTCTACACGGAGCTACTGCCTAATTACATTTTCCCAGCATCAAATGTAAATCAGGCCTCATGATAAATAGATGCCACCAAGTAACACAGCTTGCCTCAGCTGAACCCATGATAGACTACAGTCAACAGCTTGCTGCAGACATTTTACGGCTGTCACTTTGCATATGCAGGAAAATAATAATATGATGAGCAATGCACACATTTCTACTTATCTTTCCTGCATGTGATGTGATGGAAAACAGGATTTTTCACGACCACTGGAGAGAGAAAAATAGCATTCTATATTTATTGTTCTAGCTTCTTGTCATGTGGCTTTCAAAGCAGATTTTGGAATACATTATATAAGGTAAATGTTCACATACATTTCTTTAAACTGGGGCATGGCAAAACATTAGAAGGCCGGGACTAAACAGTAAGAATAAAATGAGCTGGTGAGACTAAAAGACTAAGCTAAACAGTACCTACACGTGATTTTTCCTTCCTACTTCCAACACTATGAACCACTCAAGAATACAGTGCTTACATAGGCTTACATACTGATGATAATAAGTGCAGTATCAGTTGCTACTACCACAGAAAATCTGATCTTACAGAAGAAACTTGGGCTCCCAAGGCCACAAAAAGGAATACTACTATTCCATTCTGCTTTGTGCAGGTGAAACACTAAAGCTGTCTTGATTCAGCTTCCCGCAGAGCTGAACACATTCATTAAACACCAGCCATGCAGTGGGCTCAAATACAGAGGACTTCAGTATTTGGGACCTCAAGTTATGCCAGATGAGGGGCCTTAGGATACAGTGGAAGCCCCACTATGCCAGCAGAACTCAAGATATGTCATGGGAGATGAACCACTAGTCATTCACCAGGGTGACTAAGGCCAATGTGGTTCCATGACCAGGCATGAACCCAGGTTGAAATGAGTCCAGATAATCTATATTATCCAAATGCCTGAAGATTGCTCCACTACGACTCCACCTTTCTGGGTCAGCAGTTAGTCCAAACCCATGGGTTCAAAGCTGGCTTCTTTAGAAGTGGCTGTACTACCACCTCATACCTTGAAAGGGCATAGAGACCACCCACTTATGCAGCGAAGCATTAGCCAGACTCCAAACCCAACCATTCAAGCCCCCTCTGCTAGATTTATGAAAGCAAGAAGGGCAGGGGTCAAGATTTGACATGGTTGAACACAGGTCTGCGAGCATCTCACCCACCTCATCAGTCTGCAGAGGCTGAAAGTGATCCCAAAATACATCACAGTCTGAGGCATCAGACACTTGGGTCAGAAGCGAAACAGCGGTGGAATCAAAGTGCCTCCAAAGCCAAACAACTTTATCCATAGCCAGTTGGTCATGGCAGGTCTTGGAATGGCTCCAGAAGTCCTTCCCCCTCAGTGGGGAGTCAACAACCCTTGGACCACCCAAAAGAGCTCCACTGGTCAGTTGTTTGAAGATGCAACACAGCTGTGAAGTTGTCTTCTTTGCTGCTCACTCGTGAGGTAACACGTGAGGCACAATTATATGCAATAGTCAGCATCGGAACAAGATCTGTGTCGCTTACACTCTAGATTAAGTCCGGCTGCTTTATAGCCTAGGGCTTCCCAGACTGTCAGAGAGCCAGCTGGTCGCCAGACTCACCACAATGCTGCCTTGGATTGATAGGAATAATAATAATAAAAAAACCTCTGAAGGGCCACAGGTTCCCCATTGTTGCTTTCAAGGATGGGTTGTTGCTGCCTGTGCCATTGAACTGATGGGTTGGGAGTGCTGTGACATCACATTGTTTGCTGTTATAATAATAATAAATAATATTTTATTTATATCCCGCCCTCCCCAGCCGAAGCCGGGCTCAGAGCAGCTAACAACAATAAAAGTAACACAGCATTTTAAAATCAATTCATTCTAAAATCAATTCAAAATCAAATTAATGACAACCATTGAGCTAGAGTTCTATGAGGATTACCAAACGAGGGGGTCAGACTGTGCCTTGGCCAAAGGCCTGGTGGAACAGCTCTGTCTTGCAGGCCCTGTGGAAAGATGTCATGTCCCGCAGGGCCCTAGTCTCCTGTGACAGACTGTTCTACCAGATCGGGGCCACAGCCGAAAAAGCCCTGGCTCTGGTTGAGGTCAGTCTAACCTCCCTGTGGCCCAGGACCTCCAAGATGTTTTTGTTTGAACATAAGGTCTTCCGTGGGACATACCAGGAGAGGTGGTAGTCTGTATGAGTCTGTGTCCCCACTGACCACAGTTCATTGGCTGTGTGTCATATATATAGGTGTTGTCAATGACACAGTCTTTGTTTTTAGGGATCCTGGGTGTGTGCCTGCCTTTTGGTGCCATTTTTCATTATTTATATTTCCC